TAATTTATCACAGGATTACAGCTGTGTTTCAGACCTCTGCTGAAAATGTGCGCAAATTAAAATGTGTCTGCTGTAGTTCTCTTCCAAACAATAAATAAATAAATAAACTTAGACTTATCCTGTAGTTTACAACTGGAGGAAATAAAAACAGAGAGATAAATTCGTTCTTTTGCTGTGTGATTTTGTCTTTACCTCACTGGCCTCGCTGTAGAAAGTATTCCACTCTGGTAGATCATGGGCTTCCATCTTCACAGAACTCAACATCCCCAACACAAGTCTTTGGAGGAGAAAGACTTATCTATGACAGGATTTTAAAAAATATATATATATATATCAAAAATAAATATAAAATCCTTCACAAAGTTGAAAACTTTCGGGGAAAAAAAAATCCAAGCAGAAGAAAGTTTCCTCCCTTTTGCCAAGAAAGTCAAAGAGTGACGCGACGCTCTGCTCCTGGGAATAGTAAAGTCAATATTTCTTATTTGTCAGTCATCCATTGTTTCATAACCTTAATCTTGTTATGGCTCAGCAGATGTTGACTTCTTCCTCTGGCCCGTTTTTCTTTGAATGTGTCCGGGACGCAGTGTGCGACAGGCGGACGTGCAGAGCGCAAATACAGTAAAGAACCTGGACGTCCTCCTCTTATAAGGTGCCGGTGGGACCCGCCCCGCTCCTGACATTTGAATACCGTGTTAGGATCCAGGAAGGGCCCCGCAAAAAGGCCGATGTGGCCCCCTGGCGTGCTGTATATTGGCCTGCGGCTACACCGGGGCCACCCGGACGAAAGACTGTCCCATTATCCTCCTGTGACAGAGCTGAGTGGATTTTTTTTTTTTTTAATTTTTTTAAATAGAGCAGCGAAGTTCATATGGGTGAGGTGTTAGTATGGACAAAAGTTAATTATCAAACAGGTTACAAAAGAATGCGTTTGCTCCATAAATAGATGAAAGAATTCCCCCAAAATGCAACCGTGAAGCTTCACTTTCTACCCAAAACGTTCAGATTACCTTTTTCTTGAATAATCTCTTTTTTCTGCAGGCTTTGGAAATGAAATTGAAATAAGTTCTAAAAAAGTGAAATTTTACCACATGATCAACAGAATATTTATTTTAATTTGCAAAAAAACACTAGATATTGAACTACCTTTACTGGGATGGGGTGGCAGTTTTGTGCGTGCGTGTGTGTGTGTGTGTGTGTGTGTGTGTGTGTGTGTGTGTGTGTGGCGAGGGGCGTTAAAGTCGTTAATTCTCTCGGCTATCACTTCTTGGGGCTATGAACATTTTAACACATTCTTTGGGGGTTTAGTTGTAGTAGCCGCCAATACTTGTTTCAGATTCTGGGTTGTGATAGTCAAATATGTTCCCGATAGACATGAAAAAAAATCTGACTATCAGGAAAATATTTGACTATCAAAAGAAGGCTATCAGATCATAAGAGATCCTAATCAGAAAGCAGCACACCCATCACCCTCAGTTCCCAGACGTGTAGAAAAATACCTTTGCTGCATGTTAATGCAACATCAAGTCATCAGGTAAAATAGGGTCAATAGTCTATAAAAACCTAAAGTTACCAACATATACATATATATATATTGGCTCACATAAAATTTACTGGACGTTCTTGTGCGCAATCTGTGCGTAAATTTGGCCCGGGTGAATGAGAGAGACCCGCAGCTTCCCTGAGAACTTCTTCTTTTTCTCTAAAGAGGCATTCGCGGCCCGACGCCACAGAGAAATACAATAAATAATGTAATCCTGGTGTAATGCATAAGGCCGGACTCCTGTGTCGTGGAATACACATCGGCCTCGGTGCAGACGGAGGCCCGTGAATGTCAATGCCTCTGCCTAATGGCCAGTCAATGGAGATGTAATTGATGCGCAGGCGGGAGGTCGACGGGATTAGACTGTGAGAAAAAAAAGATCCCGAGGAAATAAGAAATAACAGGAAGGTGTATCAGACAGCGAGAGGCGCAGGAAATATGAAGAAGTTTAAAAGACCTGATTCAGCCGGCTTACATTTGATGTTTCTGGGAAGATTTTGGGGGGAAACTCGAACGTGTGTGATCTCTAACATCCACCTGATGGCTGTGTTACCTTCACGATACATGATTGGATTTGTTTTGATTGATATTTTACCTTTAATAATCAATCACATGAAGGTTTTTCTTCATTTTTACCAGCAATTTAACCGCCAGTCAGCATGTTTTCTCCCCATCCTCACATTCCAGCTGCAGCTGTGTGACAGTATATGTATATATGTATAAATGTATCTGTGAGTGTGTGTGTGTGTGTGTATATTGTCAATCAGACTCTCTACAGGCCATCACCTGTAAAGACTCTGCGATTATCGCCTGTTTGCAAAACGCTGTGAGGTCGATTAACACGTGGAATGATCTAACACCTCAGTGTCTGTAATGATGTAATTAAGCCTGAAAGAGATGAGCTTTTTTTCTTCTTCCTCATCTGGACGGAGATATAGTGAAAGGTTGGTGAACTCAGAGCGCAGCTTCCGATCATAATAAATAATAACAGGACAGCGCTTGGGTCAGTTTCCACAAAAGGAACAAGCTTTTGGTTTAATGTGATAAGTTAATGTTATAATGTTAAAGCTCGAAGAGGAAGCACACACAGGTAGAGGTACTGTATCTCCTCCAGTGCATTATATTCATCATATCCTGGTGGAACTTCTTTATCCAGTCTCACATCAGAAACATGACACAACACAAAACTGCTCCTGAATGCCTCAGCTCCACGGATAAAAGAAACAGGATGAATAAAAAGACACCTCACTTGTTCACAGATTACATTAAGAAGTGATTCTTTTGTGCTATTTTTTGTCTCATCAGTTACTTTTTAGATCTAATTTAGCAGAATCTGATATCCTGAAGTTCCAGCACAGCGCCACCTTCACGTTGCTCTGGGAAGAGAAACCACACACTTACCATCTGATTTCTAATTAATTAGAAAACAAATGTGGTGAAGCTGTTTTTGTGCTGTGTATCTCTTATAGCCACACACACTGTGAGCTGAAGGCTGTGGGTCATGGACTGATGGAGCAGCTCTGTATTTTGGCCATGGCGCATGAAGCTTCCAGCCTACCTCTTAATAAACATCTTTGATTGGTGTAATGTTCCTTTAAGGTCCCTTTTTTTTTTTTTTTTTAACCCCCCAACACACATTTAGCCATATCCTCTCTCTGCGGGCCGTTTCTCATTCCAATAGGCCTCCACCGTCCATTAACACCTCTGTAATTGGTTTAACAATGGCTGTAATGAGCTGACACTAATGGAGGAAACGACAGATCGGTCTACCAGGAGCAGGACCCCCCCCCGTCTCTTTTTCTTCATAATAAAAAAGAGCTGATTAATCATGGAGAGTTCATCAACCGGTTCCAAACTGCCTGCACCGGTTTGTTTGAGTTGGGGAACAGTGGATTCCTCCCGCAGTAACTGTGTTTAAGAACTACAAGTTCCGTCTGTTTGGACTCAGCTTTAAGGGCTCTCAATGCCTAATCAGGCTCTACAGGCCGTGATATCATCCTCCCTCTGATGAAGGACGATCTCCTGTACAAGCAGCTTCAGCTCTGTCAGTCAGACTGAGATCAAGGGCGCCATCTTGTGGTCACAAAACAGAAAAAGCCTTTTAGAAAAGAGTTTCTATTAAAGATTTGTTTGGTTCTTCAGAGTCAGTCAGCACTGAATTAACCTGGAAGTCCCTCTCACAGACACCGAGCGCTCTCACAGCACAAGCCTGAATTGTTCATTTCTTTTAAACCAGGTTGAATGTATGTGGATGTTAACTTCACACGGTGGAGCTGCTGTCTGACCCACAGGCCTAAAGCTCAGAGCTGCTCACCTGCAGTCAGCTGACGGTTAACGGCACACATCAACTCAGTTTCAGATGTGAATTAATGCAGTATTTGTCCACAGGGGACCCTTTTACATATGGATGTTTCATATTATACTGAACTGTACAATGAACCCAAATAGTGAACATAATAACTACAGGACGTTGGTGTAAAATGAGCAATGAAATGAATTTTGAGCATTTTTAAAAGATTATTTCCTGTGAATGTTGCATCAAACGTGAATTTTTCTGATATTTTTTGGAATTCTTATACAGTCCTCTGTCAAACATACTTTTTTGGGGGTCAAATTCAGTTTCTTCTCCCTGACACTTGGCCACTGTTCTATTAGTTCTTTGGTTATTTAAACTGCATATTTTTCTACTGCTGGACGAGGCTGTTAAGCAGAGAGTGGAGGTTCTGGGAATGTATGTGCTATACTGTGTGTACTCTTAAAGTTTTAATGTTTTCTTACACCCCTTAAAATCAAAAAGGCCTTGCGACCCCCCCACCCCATGAAGCTTTGGATGGATGTAAGAATTATGTGTTAATCACTTTATTAGGATATGTTTGAGGTTAGTGAATTCTTTCACTTTAAATAGTTTCCTGTTGTTCAGCTGCAGGAAAAACAAGCCAGAAGTTTGGACATGCCCAAAAAACATTTATAAACAGCCACGGAAAAATGTTCAGACTTTTAATTATGTATTAATTTAACGGCTTAATTATTCTTTATTAAATTATTTGGTCCCAGTCCAACCGAAGGCAAGATACTAAACTCCCCAAATTCCTCCAGACAGATGTGCTGTCAGTGTGTGTGTGTGAGCGGTATCTGTGATTAGGAAGCTCTGTCATCAGTGTGTGAATGGGTGAATGTGTTGTAAAGCACTCTGAGTGGTCGGCAGACTAGAAAAGTACATTTGCGATTATATTTTTGGTAAATTTGACTTGATTGTGTTTTATTTTTGGTATAAAAACAGTCAGGAATTTGTGTGGCAATAAAACGTCCTGTGGTACCAGCTGCTGTCCCTGTAGCCATGATGCCAACCAGTGTGCTGTTAACTCCGGTGACCGTACAGGACTAGAAAAACACTTCAGCAAAAAAAGGTTTTAGCATTTACATCTCGGTGATAAAAGTCAAGAAACAAACACAAGTATGCTAAGTTTCCATCCCATTTATTCCTGGTTTCTATTTTGTACATGAAGCTGCGATAAAACCGACGGATCTAAAAATGACACATGAATGAAAAGAACAAATATATATAGAGAGAGAGAGCTGAGAGGAGAGACCATATTCAAACAATTAATGGCCAGGCGACTTTACAAAGGCTTCGGATAAAAGCAAAAGCCGTCTGATGGGCGATTGAAGGGAGAGAGATTCAGGTTAATAATTGACTGGACAATAAAAAAGTCATTGCACTCCTACTTCCCCTGAGGTTCCCAGACACACGGACAGACGGTAAACATTTCAAAAAGGCACTTAACAAGGGATTGCATGATGTATCAGTGCATATTAAACTTAAATTCCACTTCTTCAAGGATATTTCTCTACAACAGACCTGATCTGTGGGAAACTATCTCAGTATACACGGAAGGCCCATATAAAGCTGAGTTCACACTGCAAGCCTTAGCGCTCAGTTCTGATTCATTGGTCGGATCGGACTGTTTTTGTTTGCCTGTTCACATTATTTTTAAAATGTGGCCCGTTACAGATTCCAGTGTGAACAGGTCAGGTTGAATCGGACTGATTTGGACCACGTATGAGAGCGGCCGATATCAGAATTTAAATGTGATTTGTGCTGTTCACATTGTCAGGAAAAAAACTGATTTGAGTCACAGACATACACCAAATTTGGGCCACTTGCAGTGTGAACACAGCCGGAGTATTTGCTGAATACTATAGACTTTTCTATGTACCAATCCATAGGTACAGTAGACCGTAAGGGCCTGTAAACTGTAACGGCTCGCTGAAGATAACCTGTTAAGACCTGGCCAAGAAATATAGCAATATATAGATTTTTTTCCCTCCATAAAACATTTACATCCAGAAACATCAGTTTGGGCATAAAATGACCTTTGGTTTGTCTGTGCGTCTGTACTCACAAGTACATCCTGCACATAAAGAGAGAATCCACCAGAAAAACACATTTCTAATGTTGGACTGTTCAATTTCAGAACATGAAATCCCTGCACATTTTTATGTGACTGGCAAATAAAGTGTGAACTGCATTAGATGGACAGTTTGTATGGTGATCCACATTTGTTCCAATGACTCAACAGACTGTGAGCTTTTTTAAAATCAAGATAAGAATAATTTCATTGCAACGCTGAAGATATCAAACCTGAAAATAAGCTTATAAATACAATATCCATTCCATAAAAGTGTCACGTGATACGAGGGTTGTCTTATCTCTTAGTTCTGGGAGAAATTCATTCATAAACGATATTAAACCTTTCAGGATTACAGTCCAACTCTTCTGCTTTCAGGTGGATTCTCACTTTAATAAACAAAAAAAGGTTTGAGAAATGATAATTACATAGTCCAAACTGTTGCATATACTATGACGAAGGATTGCACATACATACTATTAGAGATCTATAGAGTATATAACATTTAACATTCTAGTATAAAATATAGTCCTAGGCCTATCAATAGATATCTTTTCATATACATTCGGGGTAAAGCGTAGGCTGGGCTGGATCTTGTATGAAAGCAACATTTAAATACAGCCAAACACAGGGTCTCTGTGGCTGGTCGAGGACAGACAGATAACTGGTTGTTTGTACACAGCAAAACATTCTCCTTTCTCTGAGTCAAAGTCAACTTTATTTAAAGCTGACGGAAAAAACAAAACACACAGAGAAATGTCACGACTGGCATTCTGTCCACATCTCATGTCGGTTTGCACGTTCACGTGTTTCACTGGAGAATTTTTTTCCCATTTGTTTAAAAAAATAAAATTAAAAAAAGAATCTGCGCCGGGACACGGATTCAGTCACGAAACAATAAAAACAATTCATCTGTATTTCAAATTTAAGGTACACTTTGTTATCATAACATCTATTTCATGTCAGTTGTTGTAAATTGTGTTCGTAGAAGCACAAATATTTCATTTAGACCAATCATTGGCAGAGAAAATGGCATTTTTTCCCCGAGACAGTCAAGTTCCAACTGGTTCGGACTGAGAACAGCCTGTATGTGTCTGTGAGCAGTCTGATATCTGACCCACTGCTGCACACTGCCGGCCAGCCGCTCATCACCGAGGGACAGTGGCGACGAAGCAACCGTGGTTACTCTTTTACTATTTCAACATTTGCGTTGGATTTGTCGAAGCAAGCTTTTGTGCTTTCCCTGTGCAAACACAATATTGAGTGTACCGTTACAACAAACACTGGGCCATGGCTACTTTCTGGGAGTTTAGGAAGGGTACTTTGAAACAATAGACATACCTGTGTTAGGTCTGATGACAAGTAAATAAAATAAAACCAATGCCAATTATATATTAATACATTGATGGCCATATTGAGAAATACTGACATTTCAGTGGTCCTGTTGGCACTGTTTGTTTCTGTGAATACTTTGTAAGGGACTATGGCATCTTTGAAATGATTGTAATGGTGGTTCAAGTTTTTTTTGTGTGTAGAAAATCTTGTTGAAAACTGGTGTAATCTGTGTTTCTTCAGCCCATTTATTTCCAGCTGCTAACAGTAGCTCGCTGGCAGTACTAACGCAGGCGTGACTACATACACACAGTTGTTTCAACTGGCCCGACAACTACTACCTCCACAAAAAGCAGCCAGTGTTCAGCTGTTGATTGGTCCTGGTTGTCTGATTCCAGCAGTACACGGTGAGGGACGTTTTAATATTAATGCTCGGTTACGTCAGTCGCTGTCTTGGGAAAGTTGTGGCGTTATTTCACCGAGATTGTTGTCGAGATTTGGCGAGATTGAGCTTGAAATGCACAGGATGCACGGGGGAAATTTAATGCGATCAATGACATTTAATTTTCACATTCTCGGTACATCAGAAATGTAGTACTTAAGTTTTAAAGAGTCAAACTTGGCTTTAAAAAAAAAAAAAAAAAGAAACTAGAACAATAATTACAGTATGTGATGGTAGTCTTTGCCACTTTAGTCAGGTATCTGGCGAGGTCTGATGATGCAGATAGTATTTGGTGGTGTGAGCAGGTGGAGTTAAGACCTGTGCAATGGAGCTGAACTGTGTGTCGCTGTGTTGCGTCTCTTCTGGATCTCTCAGCGGTCCAGTGCACACATCTCCCTCTGGTGTGTGATACAACTCTGGGGAGACAAAAAAGCAAACAAATAAACAACAGGAACTTAAACGAGAGTAAACCTCCCACCGTATCAAAAGCTGTAAGACAAATCTACAGTTCATTGTATAATACTCTGACTGCCACCCACCCACGACACCCACGTTCAGAGCCTGAAAAGGAGAGTAAAGTACAGCAACTGCATTACCTGTAGACAGAGTAAACTAAGGAGCTTTCCTGTAAAATAGTCTCACAATGCAAACTGTTGCCAGACTTCAGACTACAGGTGCTAGTCTCTGTCTGTGGACCTGCCTGTTGCTGTGTTGGGTCCTGGTTTCCATTGAAAATCACCATCACGTCTCTCTCTCTTTCTTGACGGTGACATCTCCACCTCCAGCTCCGGCTCCACTGGCGGGTCCACCCCCGGCCCCGGATGCGGACGCACCCGCGGCTCCAGGTCCGGGCCCGGTCCCGGCTCCAGAGGCGGCAGAAGATGCAGCCCCTGCTCCAGGGTTGCCCAGTATGGTGGAGACTTCCCCCTGCATGAAGGCCCAAGGGGGACTGTTGGGAGAGTTATCCAACGCACAGCGCTCTCCGCTGGGGCAGTACACCTCTCCATCGCCCCGCCTGCTCTGGATGTACACTCTGGTGCAGGGGAAGCAGAACCTACGTTTTGTGGAGGTAGAGAAGACAGGTTACAACTTACGGTAAGGCGTAACTATTATAACTACTCCAATAAAGAGAAAAAAGGTTACACAAGTAATGGTTTTCAAGTAACTAACAAATGTTTTACTCTATAGAAAGCTACCAGAGCCTTAAACACTGGCTTAAATTACTGATTTGGATGGACTAAAAACCCAAAAAACAAACAATTCTTTGCATTTGTGAAGGTTTAACAAGAAAATGCTCAGTTTCAGATTATACACTCCAGTTTAAAAAGACAAAAAAAAAAAGAAATACACAAACCTGTGTCCTGGCACTGATGGACACTGAACAAAGTGTGTGTCCTCCAGCCTCTGGTGACACAAGGTGCAGGACAGAGTGTTTCCAGCTGAGTGGCTGTTGCTGGCAGACGCGGACCCCAGCTCAGAGGCACCACTGTGGGGTAATGCTGCAGCAGTGGTGGCTGCCTCTGCGGAGGTGCTGGATCCCAGGGGCTCCCCTCCGGACCTCGCGGCTAGGGGGCGTGGCTGCCTAGCTGGAGATGAGGCAGGCTTGGGGCTCGTCTGGCTCACGCCTCCAGCCATGGAAGAGGACGAAGACGGGAGGCCTGTAGTCTTGCTGCCGCCGCTGCTGCCAGCCACAGCAGTGTGGACCTGCGTCTGTGTCTTGGGCTGGTTCTGGGACGAACTAAGCTCTCGCTCCAGCTCCGGAGTGATAAAGGGGGCTATCCCCATCCCTATCCCCAGCTGTCTGCGGCTCATCTCGGCCAGCACCGGCGCAGGGAAGATCATGGGGCTGCTCATGGGGGCTGTCCTGGCGGTCAGACCCGCCGGCATGCCTGCAAGAAGCCCATGGGGAATCCCCGCAATACTTTGAGTTACTAGACTAGGCGGGATGGCAGCACCGAGCATGGGTCTCCGGCTGCCGCTCGGGCTCTGGCGGTTCACTTCTTGAGGCGGCTGCCCGTCGCGGTGCAACCCGTTGGGCGGTACGCGAACAGCCGAGCCGGTACTTTCCCCTCTTCCTCCCCTCTCGAAGCGGTCCGTGTGCGGCCTGCCTCCGTCCGCCGCAGCCTCTCCTCTGCCAGATGTGCCGTGCTTGTTCGGAGAAGGACCAGGTGACCTGACGTTGCCGTCCTGCATCCCGTGGGTCCGTTTCAGCTGTCGGGCGCTCGCTATCAGGAACTCAATCTGATTAGCTCCCTCGTAGTTCACACAGCCACGGCACACTACCTCGCTGAAGTCCCACACTACAGTCCACGGCATCTTCGGCAGGTCGCACAGGTAGCACCACTGGCGCCTGGAGGAAGAGGAGGGGGACGACATGGCTGACCTGAGCGGGGTTTCCACCAGCTAGCACACGTTAGCTCGTTAACCTATTTATCTCTGACAGGTGCACGCCCTCTGTTTGCTGACGACTTTCTCCTCTCGCGGGCCTCGGACTACTTTAGAACAACGTCACACATCCTGCAGATACAAACTCAGATACAACGCTCCAGTTGTTGTCGCTCTTTTTTTCCATATGTTTTGTTTTTGTTTACCCACTTCGGCCTAGCTCTTGCCCGCTGTCAACTGCTTCCCCCAGACGGACGCTGGAGCGTTACGTAACCTTTCGAGGTGCATTGTGGGTGTTGGAGTTTTCTCCCCCCGGTGGAGTCAACGCAAACCTTCCGGCCGTGCCTGCTTTTGGAACTACAACCAAAAAAAACTGGCACGGAAGTGAAGTAACTACAGGTCACAGTTCACTCGGTGTCAACACATGTGCTGCTCCTCGTAGCTGTGTGCGTTTTGCGGTAGGAAACTTTTAAATTGAGTTCTTTTGTGGTTGTTTTTTTAAACATAAAAATGCCGAGGAACATATCGTCTTCATCGAGCGAAGATGAAGCGGACAGTCCTGCTACAAAGTCACCCGCAAAGCAGAAAGAAACCGGTAAGTTTATCACGCAATGGTTGGTTGGCTGATGTGCTAATGGTTCGTTCAGTTAGAGCAGAAATACAGTGGTAGTATTTTTTGACTCATTAAAACGAATTAAATTGCCGCCATGTGTTTAAAGTTGAGATATGTTTAAATAAAAGTGTGTAAGCACTCTGTTAGTGACTCATCATTAAGCTGTGACTGTGTGTGTCTCTGTGTCGTCCTGTATTTAAGATAGCATTAAACTATGTGGCAGATTAGGAAATACTCTGAAAGTGAAGACACACACGTCTTCTTTAGGTGTTCTGTGTATTTCTGTGTTATTTTACTGATGAAATAATGAAGGTGTGCTGTTTGCATCCACAGATAAGCAGACCACCACCAGGTACCAGTGTCCAGCTGACTTTGTGTCTTTCTGCCATAAGCCCTGCAGCAGCACTCTCACAGAGAGTCTGAAGAACAACAACAACGAGTTATGGCTCATTAAAGCTCCTGTCAGCTTTAACCCAGAATGGTGGGTACAACCTGTCTGTTTTTGTCTCTGTCGCATTTAATCTAAAGCGCTGCGTACACTTCAATCTACTAAACACCAAATTATCTCTCAAGCTGAATAATAAACTCATTTTGATGTTCTAACGAAGATTAACATCAAAGTGAGTCAAAGACAACCCTGGCTGAGAGTTACAATGAGGGAATAATGGTAAATTTGGCAGGAAAGCGCCACAACTTACCCTGGAGAGCATCCAGGGTTAGATGAGATGAGATAAACTGTCCTCTACGAGAAGGGCCAACGTCGTCTTCATCTGCTGAGGAGACTGACGTCCTTTGGTGTGTGCAGGACTCATTTTATGACACTCTGGTGGCAGTAGTCTGTCGGGCAGCTGGAAGCACAGAAAGGGACAGAAAAAGACTCAACAGACTGCCTAAGAGGGCTAGTTCAGTCCTGGACTGCCCTCTAGACTCCATAGAGGAGATTGGGTGAGAGGAGGGTGTTACCCAAGCTGACGTCAATCATGCACAACACCTCTGACTGTGGCGTCCCTGAGCAGCTCCTTCAGTAACAGACTGCTGCACCCTCAGAGGAGGAAGGAGCACTACCGCGGGTCCTTCATCCCAGCAGCTGTCAGACTCTATAACTCAGCAACAGCATCATGTCTCCGTCTTACGTCTTACACACACATTATTATTGATATCAGACCTGTACTTTGAATCTGTATCTCCAGTGTGGGATCAAAAAGTCTATCTTATCTTCATGAATTCAACTTTACGTTTGAAAGTGGCAGAATGTTATTGTTTCTAAAAGTTACAAAAGCCTTGTTTCTACCAGGCAGTCATCTGTCCTGGTTTTTTTCTTACCTTTCTGTTGAGGTACCTTACACACTTTCCCTATAAACAGTCTCTGCAGTAATATGTGTGGCAATGTAAGAGACTCCACAGCAGCTCAGTCTGTAGAGACTTGCCTTGGGGACTGGATGGTCTCCACTTCAAGTCCAGCATGCACAACAGTATGCAGTGTGGTAGCTGAAGAGGTGCCAGTTCCACCTCCTGGGCACTGCCGAGGTGCCCTTCAGCAAAGCTTAACCTTCATCTTCAGCATAAAGTGACAGTGGTGCAGCTGGAGACAAGCTTCATCACATCGGGTGTAAACCTTTCCCGTTCTGTTTCGTGTGAATAATGCCTAACCCCACCTCTCTTCCTTCCATCCAGTTTCAGTGGCGTCAAGGTGCCCCTCTCAGGTCTCCAGGCCCTGAAGGTCCCTGTTGCTGCAGGCGGAGCCAAGACTGGGAGTGGGCAGCAGATCTACAGCATCCTGGCGTCCACCCACGGTACCTCAGAGCTCCACCTGCTCACCAGTGACAGGCAGTCGTCAGAGAACGTGGTTTTGGGCCCCGCTTTCTCAGGCCTGCTAAACGTGTGCGAGAGCTATGGAGACAGCAGCGCCAACCAGGCCCCTCAGGTCATCCCCGCCACTCCAGCCCCCTCCATACCGCCAGGGCTAAAACAGCGATTCCACCCCTTCGGCAGTAAGACCCCCACGCTGACCTGCGTGGCGGAGAGTGAGACGGATGGAGCCGCCTTCGGGCCCTCGTCCGCAACTCTCCGGCCCTTGGTAGTCAAACGGTTCGCGGAAGATACGTGGCGGGAAGAGGAGGAAGAAGGGAGGAAAAAGAAGAAGAAAAAGAAAGAAAAGCGAATAAAGTCCGAGCGAGAGGAGGAGTCGATGGAGGTGGTGAGAGTCAAAGTGGAGCGTGTAGCTGAAAGTCAGGACGGAGTGGCGATGGAGGTCCCCATCCAGGAGGCCGAAGAGAAGAGGAAGAAGAAGAAGAAAAAGAAGGACAGAGAGCGAGAGGAGGTGGAGGAGGGCGTGGAGCCCAGTGTGAGCGTGAAGGTGGAACAGGTAACGGTGAAATGTGAACCAACAGACTCTTTGTATGGCGACGCAGTGGAGGGTTCTGGGAAAAAGAAGAAAAAGAAGAAGAAAAGCAAAACTGATGACGACTGACTTAACGTCACTTTGTTTTTTTGATGTTTAGTTTTCTGTTTTTGTTTTGTTTGTTTTTTACCCTTATGTCTGAACCCATCTGAGAGCCAGTTTACTACTAATTCACCCCAGCTTATTGATGGTTGTATAATACAATGCTTGCTTTGGCAGGACATTGAATTCAGAGAAAAAAAAACAACAAACACATCCTGAATCAATTGAACAGGGAAACAAATTATACTTATGTCTTTAAGGCCCATGTTCCTATCATTATGAGCTCAGAAAGTGACAGTTTTACACACAAAGAATGTGTGAGACCGCAGCCATCGGAGGGTACACGAAGAAGAGTGTACGAAAGGGGAATTTGTGCGGTCGGTTTCTGTCAATTGGTGGTAGTTTTTATGGGATTATGCTCACACTCTGTTGCTGTGTTTGTGTACATATTTACACAACCGCCCTGGTAACGTGACGGGTTTGGCAGCCGGTTTGGACAACCAGAGGTGATGTGAAGACAGAATAATGGTTCATTGTCACGTAAAGGTTAGCTTTTCTTTTAAGGATGTGAGTCACATGTATTGTGGAAATAATTTGTCTGCAGGAAACACGTGTTACAAAATAAACTCCAAACAGTGATTAAAGGAAATGAAATGAAAATAAAAAAACGTGCTTGTGTTTTTGTCCCGCAGTCTGTCCGTGCAAGTGTTCCAGTGCCGCACAACATTTTCCCCTCCTGCCTTGTTAGAGCAGTGATTTCATCCAGCAAGAATGAAACTTGAACTCGTGTTGTAAGTCAGACTGTGGCTTTTATAATTGTGCAACAATAAGAAAGTGCACAATTTACAAGCAGTAGTTTTCTTATGATCGGAAGCTTTTGGTGGAAGTTATGTCACTGGGGAAGGCAAAAGTCTTTTCTCTTGAGAGACATTAAATGTTACTAAATTATTTCATGAATTAACAATATGAGTAGTATATTTGCCAATAAACTGTATTGTAAAATATTTCTTTCTGACTTGTTCAGGACAAAATGTGTCTTCTTGTAAATATCAGATGGTCATATCACCACTTCTGATGCAACGGAATCACACAGCAACGGAGAAATCTGATGAAAGTGCACTTTTTTCTGCACATTAAAGTATTTTTGCCTTTCATTAAATAGGTCCAGTGCAGAGTTTCACGATGATCTTTATGATCTTTTCAGTGGCTTTTCAACTCTGCCATGACTCAAACTATGCAGGAAACCCTTCATGGCTATAATCTGTTGGCGTGCTAAAAGTCGTATTTAAATAATGCTTCATGTCGGCACAAAATATTGGCATCAAGAACCTACAGTGGTTGATCCCAAGTCTATAAATCTCTGCATATCCATTGCCAGCAGAAATTCCTTTCAATTAAATGCAACAGAGAAATAAGCAGTTGTGACAGGGAGATGGCGCCACAGTCCAGCCTGTTTCCTGTGTGGAGCAGCAGCCTGCAGCCTCTCAACAACCTCTTATTATTTATATGCTATCATCTATTTTCACTAATGTAACACAGATCTGCTGTTGCTCTCCAGACACACACACAATGAAAGGATTTATAATTTTTCCATTTTGTGACGGCAGAGAACCACGGCTCTCAGTGACACTCAGGTGAAAAATCTTAGTCCAGGCTCTGCATCCTCCCCTCCTCCCTCCCTCCCTCCCTCCCTCCACTGCTCCCCTCTTCCTGCTCTGCACCGGAGTATGGTCCTGTTTCTTAATGAGCTCAGGCACCTCTGGCGCTATCACTCTCCCACCATCTGTAGTAACCCTCTGCACATGCCGCAAGGCTTTATTGATCCAGCTTCATGTGTGCACAGTATTTCTGCTGCGAAGGGGTCAGCTGGACCCAGAGTGAACAAAACCATGTTAGAGTTAACAAAAAAATAAAAGCTTAACATACCAACGAGAATTTTTGAAATAGTTTTCTACTCTCTGAATTGGACTTGGTTTCCATCATGATGTCTAGATTTTTTCGGTTTATCAGGCAGCCATTATAGCACAGAGCCACAGATGTCAGATGCTGGATCAAGCGTTTCCCTGTGAGTCGCATCTAATGCCAGGTTTCTGTGTATCCTCACAGGTATGTTGAATGTGTGTGTGAGCGTCTTCAGAGCCAGAGTCTGCAGGCTTGAGTGCATGGGTGTGTATGTCTATGTAACTGAAAGTGTGTGTGTGTGCAGCTGCTTAAAGTCAGTGAAATGAAAAATGATTTTTACTCTGTTGGCTAAATCTTCTTAACATACTTCCTTTAGACATTTATTTTCCTTCCTTAAAAATTGTATCTGTGCCAGTTGCTTCATGTTAAACCAGTAAGAATTACTAAAAAGTATCACATTTTTTGAACTATTGATCCATATGAATTCCCAGGGGTCTACAGGTTTGAATGGTCCAATCATGTGTTAGGTCTTGGAATGGATCATCTTGGATCCAGAAAATTCTTATTTAGGCAAAAGGGTGGAGCTGAGAGGCAACAAGCGAGTGCGAGTAGGCTTGTCTGGCAGGTGTCTTCACATTCCTGCCCAAAATGTGTCCTTTTAAGACATTTGACCTCTTTAATGGAACATTTATTCTTATAAGTTTTCCACTGATTTCAGTGCAGTGAGGTTTATTTTGGGTTTTGACATTCTTGAACCCGAAAAGCTCTGCTCCAGATTTGATCCATTACCGACTATTACTGTATCTCTAAATCTGTTCCAGGTCCAACCTGACCCACAATCAAATACATAGTGTACACACTGAGTTAAAACTGCCTTAAGCTCAGACAACGGGCAATATGCTCAACTAAGCTGAACAGATGTGTAATAGTATAGATAGACAAATGGATAATAATAATCAGTCTTTTTTCCACATAAAATAAATTTTTACCCATACCCTTACCTTTAAATTAATATATATGTATTTACCTGTTACTCATACATTTTGTGGAGACCGCTCGTCTCTGTAGGTGTAGTGAACTGGAGTCATAAAGCCTTTGGATAAGAGAGCTGAAGCTTTTTAACAGACATGACCTCGCCTTAATTTGTGAATTCACTGGAGTTTTGCATCATACCGCCTGTAAAAAGCCAGTCGTGGTTGCTGCACGGTCCTACACCAGCACTCAGTTTCACATTCAGACAGATACTTGCAGCACTGACAAAACACAGCTCCGAATGCAGTTTCACAATAGAAATGAGCCAATTAACAAAAAGGTCTAGTGAAGGACTAATACAGTATTGCATGGTCTTTTGGTTTAAGTCTCCTTTAGGCTTTGCAGCTGGAATATTTACAGAGGACGCTCTCTGTGGAAATTGACTTTGCATTTCCAAACCACTTTCTGAAATGAAGAATACACCAGAAAGTGCTTTTTTTAAACCAGAAATTCATTAACAACCCTATCAGCCCCTGCGGACTATATAATGGCCATTATGCAAAAAGGCAGTGAAATCCTCATTTATTGCTCCTGTAGAATACTATGAACTGAATAAAGCATGAGCTGGTTCGTCAGGTCTGTAGCAGAATAACATTTATGCATCTTGTTATGCAGTTTCTGCCATTTTCTGAATCTTTCATTGTGGTTGCATCAGTTGTCTGGCTCTGTGTGTGTGTGTGTGTGTGTGTGTGTGTGTGTGTGTGTGTGCGCAGCAGTGTGGTCAAGAGGATGCGACAGATTCTCATCTCATTTCCGTCACATTTAGAGTTTACTATCAGCCAAAATTAATCTGAAATACACAAGAGGACGAAGTCACAGAATTATATCTCCCTCAATATATCTGCTCTCACAGCCATTGCTGCCCTTCTTGGTGTGTTTCTCTCTCTTAGCTGCACACAGATGCTCTGACTGCCTCGTCATTTACACCTTCTTTGTTTCCAAGGGACGGAAAAATAATTGGGTTCTTTGTAAAGAAGCAAGACCAGTAGGTCAAATTCACACCTGCTGGGAAAAGTATGAGTGGGAGGTAGAGTAAATGAGTGGTCTCAGCTTCCTTAAAGGTCCAGTGTGTAATATTCAGGAAAATCTACTGGCAGAAATGGAAAATATAATATTCATAGGTATGTTTTTATTAGTGTATAATCACCTGAAAATAATAATTGTTGTGTTTTTGTCACCTTAGAATGAGCCTTTTATAACTCCAGGCGCCACAGGTTGCCATCCCTGGTGGCCACCGTGTTGAACCACTATGTTGCTACAGTAGCCCAGAAGTTACAAACCACTAGATAGGGCCATTTGCATATTTCACAGCCACCGCAGTTGCTCCTCTGTGCTTGGAAGGGGATAGTGAAGCCAGGGAATTGCGTTCTACAACTACATGGTTAGATGCCACTAAATCCTACACACTGGTCCTTTAACAATGTCTGCTGAAGCGGCACGTAAATGTATCTGGTCCACAGGAGTGCAGCTGTACTGTGCAGCCGGCAGGTATGAATGTTGTCACCTGTTTGTATGAAATCGTGTTGATGGAAAACACAAGTCTGCTCATTCCAATTCCCTCACATAAACAAAGGTGTAAAGGGTGATTGTGACCCCAGTTTCAGTCCCTCTGCGTCTGCCTAACCAGTCTGAAAAATGCAATGAATTAGACCCTGAGTGCAGCTGTAGCCGGGGAGGGGGATCAAATCATATCAGTCTGATTATGTAAGGTGAATCACTATGGCTCTTTCCCAAACCAGTTCCTCCCCTCCAGCACTTCACTGCAGTATCACTTCACAAGAAGTCACACCTGCAGCTGTGGTGGATGCTCGGTAAGTGAAGGCTGTAAACGAAAAGGTAAACTTAACACTGTGAAGAGGAAGCAGACGTCAGCAGACTCTCAGCTGATGTGTCACATTATGAATTGTAGAGGCAAAAGATCCTCAAAACAACTGTACTTTCTGTTTTTGAAATGAATGCATGCATATGTTTTGGATAAAAAGAGGTATAGGAGAAGTTTAGCAGACTGAACTTGTAATTAACCTCCAGTTCTTGAGCTATTGATTGTTGCCTGTTCTTAGTGGTATACCTGCGTAGCGAAATAAGAAAACAAGCAGCATGAATGCAGGCAAGCAATAAAGTGGAATTGTAACGTTAGGAGGTTGACTAAGAAAGCTTCACCTGCTTGTATCTGCAACCTCGACCGCGTTAGTTGTTCCGCCTGTTTTTCACCGTAGTATGCAAGTAAATTTAACCTATTCTGGTGTGACTGCAGCATAAATACTTAAATGTAAGAAGATGGAAGAGCTAAATTAAAATAGAAATGCTTAATGAGGAATACGAATAAGTTTGTGACACCTGCAAAGAAATATCTGTGAGTGGTTTAATTAATTGGAGTGTTCCTTCACTCTTAATCAAATGAAAACATTTTAAATCTTTTAATTAAGATGTAAGAAAACTTAGTTTTAGACAATGGTAAGAGTTTAATTTACTTTTAATTTGTTACTATTTATAACCCTCAAATACTTCAGGAATGTGCATTAAAGTCTATAAATTGATGTGGGTGGGCAGTGGGATTGGACCTTGGTTTGGGATATCATTAAATATAAGAAAACATCCATGCAAACATATAGTGAATGGTGATAAATGGCAGAACTGTCAATTATGCTCCTTTGTGGCTGGAAGCTTTATTTATGTGCAATGAGAAAACCTGGCATTAATCTTACATATTAGCAAACATCATAATGCTGAACCT